AACTTTAAAAATATTAGATTTTGATATTAAAAGGTTGAATAAAATGTGCAAATAACTGCAAATATTATTTACTTAATAGAAAATTCTCAGCCACAGTTTGTAAAACCCAAAATATAAAAGTGAAGTTATTTCAAAGAGCCCCAGCTCAGCCCCTTTTCTTGGACCTACCTTATAAACATCAAGCTCTCCACACTGGTGATCAAACCTGGTGTACAACTCATTGAGCATGGTGATCACTTGCATCGGTGTACAGCGCGAGCAAACTGCTGTGAAACCCACAATGTCGGAGAAGAGCATTGTAACTTGCTCAAACTTTTTGGCCTGGACTGTTTCTCCTTGCCACAACTGTTGTGCCACAGTGCCGGGGAAGATAGAGAAGAGGAGGTCCACCGTCTTCTTCTTCTCCTCCTCCAGGGCTTGGTGAGCATGCTCCAAGGCTGCCTTGGCTTTCCCCAGTCGCTTTTTCAAACCATCCTGGGCTTTGGCCTGCTCTCCAACCAGGACGACGTCCCGCAGCGCGTTGTGAATGGGGATGTCTGACAGGTAGAGGCCGCGACCTGTTAGCTCCTCCAGCTTGTCCACGCACGGGGAGCCCAAGAATAAGATGGCGTTTGACTCTGAGACATAAATCATCTGACCTTTAAGGTCCATAAGCTGAAAGCAGAGCAAGAGAAGAGATTAAAAAGGTTCATTTTGAGAGAAACTTTTACCGTGAAAAATGATGTTAGGATTACCACGTAGGCTACATCCTGCTGGTTGAAAAATTACCTTTTTCATTTTTCGCCTAATGGCACGAAGGTATTTAAATAATATACAATTTCTAAACTGCACTCGTAGATTTCCGCCAGATGATTATTGTTTACACAGACTCTTTACATCAGAAAGAAAATTCACATAAACTTGTTAAATTAGGAATCTCTGAAACGGTAGCTGCATGCAAATTTCCATCAGCTTCAATGGAAAACAAAAGCAAAGGTTTACTTTTAAACCAGTGGAGCAAAGGTTTGAAAGGTCACATCTAAATCAACATTTATTAGCCACACCACAGCACTGCTAAAAAAAATGGTATGTTCAAGGCCTTACTATGGTCTAGACTGAAGTACCAGATCTCAGCACTGATGGGTAGTCGTACCGTTGCACAGTAACTGGGGCAAACATTAATTGTGTCCAGAAGATGACTCTTATCCTACTGTAAAGAAAAATGCTTGAGAGCCTTAAGGCATTCCTACTAGCCTTAGCTGTACAATGTCTTTAACTCATGGCTTGCATATGAAAAGTGTCAATAAGTATTAACAATAATCAATAATGTCCATACTCTTTAAAATATTGTCACAATCTATGTGGTAGTGAACGGTTAAAAGCATTAACTATTCTCTTTGAGGATGATGAGTCATGTAAGACACATGAATGAGTAAATAAGCAAGGATATTATGAAATTGTTGGTGAACGTTTTTTTCCCCGCACTACATTTGTTGCATTTACATGCATCTCAAAAGGCCCTCTGCACTCTTTAATAGTTTGGTGTTCTTATTACAGCCTTGTGTGAATATAACTTGCATCAGTAGAGTCACTTCCACTGGTATGACGCTCATGTTTGTGTGCTGTGGACTGTAAGTGACGCATCACCCACCCAAGATCGAAGGCACTGCTATGTCTGCACACTCATGCCCTCGCTGATTCGTACCTGTTTTACGCCACAGTCCCATTTACTCACTGATACTTTTCCTCTCCTGTCAGGGCGACGGATGGCAGTGCACCCACACAGAAATAGCATGAGCATGGCTGTGCCTTTGATGGATAAAATGGTTTGACATTTACTTCTGATCTCCACTGGGGGTTCTTTGTTGATCTCTACCTCAGGCCAAGTGTGCTCGAGTAAAATACTAATAGGCCTGACTGCTTGTAAACAGCTACATATCTTTCCCTTCTCTCTCCAGCCATTTAATATGAATATACTGTAATCAGCATAGAACCTTCCCCGCCTTTTTACCCACTAGCATGAATTTTTTTTTAAAGTTTCCTCAAACAGGTCCACATACCTTCCCCGCGTTATCTGTGGTTGCGACTCCATGTTTGATCCGGATGATAAACTGTGCATTAAGCATGGTCAAAATACCTTGAAAGGTACATTTGATTTGGGGAGAGACAATAGAGAAGTGTTCTTGGAAAGTAGACGACCGTCTCAGTCCATCCTTCCTGATGAGTCTCTTCCTGAGTCCATGTCCTATTTGTACCAGAACCAGATCCTGGTCCAGTATCAGGTGGAAGGGGAAGATAATGGAGAACAGAGAGGTAGGGAGGGTCCCTGCTGAGGTAGCTCGCAGCGGACTCGGACTCAGAGTTTTCACATCCTTAACTACCACCGTGTACAGAAGACTGGGTTGCGGGCTGGACTGTAGGATGCTGTCTCTGGTGTTGAGGGGGTCCTTCAACACGTCCACAGAGCTGTGGTACAGCAGGCGGGCAGCTGCTTTGATGACTCCGGGGAAAAAGAGCTCGGTGGTTGTGTAGGGGTTGAAGAAATAGACAGTAAGCAGACCCGGATCCTTGTCTAAGCACAGCACCGATGGTTCGTTTACACAATCCTCCCTGTCCAGGTTGGGCAGCATGCTGCTCTGTTTCAACAAGACATTGAAACTGTTGAGGAAGTCGTGCAGAGCGCCACCCACCACCCTCAAAACGTGCCTGTCCTCCTCGTAACACATATTGAAGATTTCTTCGCCGAGAGCAACTTTCAAGGCATCCATCGGGATCGCTGTCGGATACATGAGGGGAAACAGTTGAGGATTCGATGCACGACACAGTGCTATAAAAAGCCAGTTACATGTTGTGCATAATGAATGTCAGATTTTCCACTACCTGTTTTGGTTGAGTAACTATTCATCATCTCCACTAAATGCTCTGCTTCACCACTGCATCTCTGGTGGGGAGTGCAGCAAATTGCTGGACTGGAAAGTCAACAAACATCAAAGTCAGACACACGAAGCAATGCTCAGTGGAGCATATAGTCTTCATTCCATGCTTAAGACTTGGGAACAACCATATAACGATAAAGATTTTTCTTAATCATTAAAAAAAAATTGAAGGAATATCCAGCATGTTTCCAGACAATCTTAATCATGATCCAGCAGGCTGGAATAAATAAATATACAAAAACATAGGAGCAAAAAGCAAGTTAATGTTTTTTTTATTTTATTTACACCTTAGCAGCTACAAAATAGATATTTCCAGGTTCCTGTTGGATTGAAATCACAATAATAAAATGCAGAATCTGTCAGAGCATTATTTTCTTTCGTCTTTGTTTTTTTTAGCTGATTTATAAGCCATTTGGGTTTTTCTCCTGGTATCCATAGCAGCCTGAATTGGTATCCCACCTCATTGTTGTTGTCCTTGTTAGTATTGAGTCTGGTCGTGAGGGTGAGGGGAGGTATTTCTAGATATTGCTAAACAAGAATCAAATAAAGCTGAAGCCTTGGTGCAAAATCATTTCTGAAGGCATGCACACATGGTCAGGAAAACAAACATTTTTTATGATCTATAAAAAAAAAGAAAAATAATTAAAAAGACAATAATAATTGCAAGTTACCTCTCAGGCTCCCTGTTGTGATCCTTTACTGTCATCATTCGTTGGAGAGCTGCGTGCAGTCTTTGAAACTGTATCACAAAGTGTCCAGTAAGTTAATGCTTATTGTATTGTGGGGAAATAAAAACGCTTATGATTTCATTATCTCCCGTGGGTAAAACATGTTTGATGTCTGTGCATTTAGACCAAATTGCGACGGAGCCAGCTGCTGAAGGTGACACACACATTCTCACACATCTACACAACTAAGCGTGCTGCACAAAACAAGGATAGAGAAATAATGCGCTAATAACTCACCTCTGGACATGCCAGTTTACGGATACTCTCCCCGAGAGTATGCAGGTTAACTTTGGCTCTGCTTGTTTTCTGTCGAGGCACATTCTGACTGAATGTTCCGTGCACGTCCTTCGCGATGGGCATTAAATCCGAAGCGTCACTTGAGCGCTCCACAAAGTCTCCGGGCTCGTTGGTTTTGGCGCTGCTGGAGAACGGACACTCTCCGGATATCTTCAGCTCTTTCAGCTTGGCGCAAAACATCTTCCCAGCTGTGGCGATCTCTTGCCTTTTGCTCTCTTATTTAGTTTCGGGGGGAGACAGATGTGGTCGCGCAGCTGCGGTCTCGGAGGGAAAGCCCATCATCTCCAGCAGAGCTCATCCCGGGTACCTCCGTCCTCTCAATGCGCTCACTCCAACGATCAGTGCCACAGCCAGGGACCACATGTAATATTCATTTAAAAAAAAAAAAACGCACGAGCAAATGATGGCTGGAAACTATCACTGCCAAAAGCCAATGAGAGTGTAGAGAGAAAGAATCTGTAGGCCAATCCATGTACTAGTGAGGCTGATGTATCTGAAGGACCTATCAGCAAAGAGACATTATTTCCAGCCTACTATACCCCTGTCTTTTTTCCCTTTATTTTTTTCTGCCAAATCACCTAAACTGAACACTGTCTTGTGAATAAAGCGGCCTAGTCCAAAATACAAATATAATTTTCCATTTACCAGCTCACATTATCGAGCTGTGGAGGTCAGTGTTGTTAGGAATCAATTTAATAGGAGTTACATTTTAGCAAAAATGTTGTTTCTTTATGTGACTTCTGATAAGCTGTCAAACAGTTTATCTGAAAGAAAAGGAGTAAATGCAAATTTAAGAAACCAAAAAACTGCACCAGAATCTTTCTGTTCTCAAAAAAAAAAAAATTATTCCATAGATTTGTGTATTCATTTCCTTGTTCATCCTCCCAGATGACCACAAGCAATTGGTGTGAATGCATTATTGTGTTAAGATCATTTCTTGCAACTAAAAACCTGATGTACAGTTTGCATTGTGTTATGGAGGTGACTACTTTCAAACCCATCTGTTATAATATAAATCTTGACATTTCAAGAGGAGACGAGTGAGTTCAACAGAAGGTAGCATTCCAAAGGGTTTAAGTGTACTATGGATAGAAAAAACACACATCTACATGCAATTTGTTATTGTTAGAAGGCACAAATTCTCCAAGTTATTTGATAGACTCAGTATGAAATAAAGGACAAACTTAAATGCTTTCCCTGAAATTAGATGAAGTCAGTGTTTCCAACACATTATTCACGTTCTATCAGATATATAATATCTTTTAGCTCTTTCTCCTATCAGAATGAATCATTCTGCACGTACAAGCTTTTTGCCAAACAGTTGCTTTCTGTCCAAATAGACCACAGTGGCTTTGGCTAAACACATTGGCTTCAAAACAATAGCTCAGCAGTCAGCTGGTGCTGCCATATTGTGTGTTCACATTTACAGCTATCTGCTAATTAATACATGAAGACTAAGTAAGCCAGAGGAACAAGGCTTAGGCTAACAGAGACAAATGACACACTGCTTTGTATGAGATGTCCACTTTGGCATTTCTTCTTATTGTTTTCAAAAATGTTTCCCATATGCTGACACTTTAGTTGTGGGTGATGTTACTTACAAAGAAAGATGTAGATCTTTATGGCCGTTCAATCAAACTTTTCCCACGTATGGGCTTGACAATTGGACTCCGATAAACCAGTCCATCCAGTACTTATAAGTACCTGAGTCATTACTGTATGCCACAGACAAATGTTTAACAGAATTATGAAGAGAATTAGACCCTTGAATCACAGACTATTTAGGAAGTACTTTAATAATGATATGTTGAGCGATCAAAAATAGACTTGGAGGACCTTGATGAAGCTACATTACTGCTTGTTGGCCTTGTTTGGCCTGAAATAAGCAGTTTTTCTTACGAAGATTTTTTTGTTAAATCCCATCATATCCAGTATAGTCCCAAATAGTTGCAGCACAGTAGGGTAAATTACTGCTCTTCTTTGGATCGGTAGAATACTTATCATGATAAATAAACAATGATCAATATAAGAATATGAAATTTTGGACCTTGCAGTGTTGATTTAAAAGAAAAAACAGTATGTTATTTTACTGCAAGCCTTGTAACATTGGAAAAAGGAAATCTGAAAGACTGGAGGAAGACAGTTCAGTAACTTGAGCCACTTTTTGCTTATGTGGCAGTCAAGCTCAGGCATATAAAAGAGGCAGATATTCAATGTAGAGCTTTACATTTGAGTATCTTTTATTGCTGGTGTGTTTAACCTTTAACCTTAAAAAACAACTAAACCAAATTTAATGGGGGGGGGGTACTGAAATAAAATAAACAAATAAATTCCACCTAAACTAACAAACATTTTACTGAACTGAAATCTTAAACAAGAACCCACAAACATCAGCATGATGTTGAATGTGAGACTCTTTTTTCGTCTTTTGGGGAAGTTGATATGTCATGTTGTGTTTCTCTGTTCTTAGTGTTTTGTCCCCCTTTTTTCTGGTTGTCTGTTTTGTGTTTAGATCCTGGTCATTCCGCTTTAGTTTCCTTAGTTCTTCTCTTGTAGGGTCATCTGCTCCACTTAACCTCTGCTCTTTATCTTCATCTGTATTTAAGCTTTGTGTGTTGTCTTAGTCATTGTTAGATCCTGGTGGTTGTCACCACCTCTTTATGTCTGGTTTTTCCCCCCAATGGTTTTAAAATCTTAGTCAACAATCTCCGGTCTCCCGCCTGTCCGTAGCCTGCCCTTGCATCCTGACCATCCCCAAACCCCTATGACACATTTGGTGTCACCACGCTTCCCCAAAAGACAAGTTTGGAACAACCAACAGATCTTAAATCTGCGTGCCATTGTCTGCCAACCAAACTGAACAATTGACAACGGAATGATGAATTCTTCAAGGATCACACAGTTGACCAGATAATAATAGATGTGGTCGATAATGTCCACCTGTCCTTTGTGGAGCTGCAGAACAGTGATGAGCACATTGATCTGGACTTTTGTGGTGGAAGTGTCAGACAGAAGCCATCCCTCACATGACAGCCTACAGGAATAAACCTGAATGACTCTCAGAAAATGAAGAGAAAACTCATCTGATGAAACTGAATGAAAGCTAATCTATTTCATCACAATTCCCTTGAAGTGAGAGGATGCCAAACATCATATTTATCATATCTGTAATAACTCCATTGTATTGTGAAACATGCTGATGACAGCATCATGCTGTGGAAAGGTTTCACTACGATCCCATCTGTGAATGCTTGGAGAGGTAAGAAGAAAATATGCTAAAATTCTTTCTAAACTGCTCAGAATCTGAAACTTTTCACGTCAGCGAAACTCAAGAAAAAAGAGAAACTTTCGAAAGAAATGTTATCTGGATTCATCATATTGTTCAAGAGGAGAATTGAGGCTGTTCCTGCTACCAAATGTCCTTTAATGAATAACCAATGCAAGGGTTTAAACACTTATGCAAGTAATTTTTTTTTCAAATGTTTACAAAATAAGTCAAAGTTCTGCTTTTGTTTTGTCATTTAGGAATCTTAATTATGCATGTATGGGAAAGACAATAAAACATGAAAGGAAAAGTAAGAAGAAAAGTCATAAACCTCCCAGAGGCACAGTATAAGCAAATACAAAAACTAGCAGCTGTTGAGGAGCATAAATTGCAGCTCCTCACTCTGCTCTCATCTTATTTATGTCTATTTACATGAAAAAAACATTGATTAGAACATCAAGTAACATCTGATGCTCTTCAGATTCTCATTTCACTTTCTCAGGATGATACTCATCCATTGTGATTCATGATTTACTGTACATACCAGTTCTCTCATTTAGGCAAAGAAGTGCAAATGAAATGCTCATTTGTATTTGGAGGCTTGGTGGGTAGAAGGATATGCTGTCTTATTTGCACCAAGACAATTAGTTCATAATCAAAGAGAAAAGTCATTAAAATTGAAATCACTTTAGCCATAAATGAGCTTGTATAACTGTGGAATTTAGAGTTTTTCTGACATTTTGTTCTGGTTTGTGTTTTATCTTTTTTGTTTTGCTCCTATCATCTATCTATCTCACAGAAGCTGTCCTGTGGTGAACCAGTTAGTCATGCCTCCATAGGACACCAGAGATGTCAGGTCATTTAATATCCAGCTGCCGAGGATGTGGACATCATGTTGAGCCATTTTCATGAGGGCCGTGTTCAATTTTTCAGCTAATTACACGGCAAGTTCACTGCTGTGAACGGAGGAGATAATATCTTTTGGAAAGCTTATTAATCAATGGGATGTGTCAACAGCAAACCCAGACTTTGGATCTGTACGTTTGCTGTGTATTTGGCTGATTTACAAGAGCACCACCAAATCGTGACCCTTGTTTTAACTCTGACAGTAATGACTAATAGACCTTAAAAAAGCTTTTAAAAGCTCTGCTGGTCAGATAACCAAAAGGAATGTGGAAATAAAAGTTATGTGCGGCATATCCTGTATCATCTCCTTAGTTTGCTTGATTTTTAAATTTTATGCTCACATGAAGTAATATACCATTTTTTGTGCATAGGAAAAGACACAAACCAATGAAAGACTCCTTCTATATGTGAAGAAGTGCAGCAAAACATGATCTCAAATATTTGACTGCTCTGCAGTAGTTGGAGAACCATATAATTTAGTCTTAAACTGTATGAAGCACTTTTTAGAGAGTTATACAGGAGCAGTTATGTGCTCACAGAAACACGAAAGACGTCTTTTTCCTTTGTCATACTTGTCAAAAACATTGTGTTCAACAGATTAGCAACAAGTATACTTGTTTTTCATAAAATGTTTCTTTTTGCTCTCTACTGAAATGCTTTTAGATTGTTTAGAGCTGCGCCAGAAAAAGAGCAAAATCTCGAGATGATTTAGAAAAATGATCATGTCACAGTCGTCATGGTCACGGTTCATTAATTTTTTAAGTGAGGTGTAACTCAGTTTTTATGAATATAGTTCCCTAAGCTGTCAAAAAAAATGCTTGTATATATCAGCAAGCCAACATCCTGACAGGTCTGTCTTTTTTCTACACAAACAAAGGATACATAACTTAGCCCATGTACACATGACAAATGTGTATTCCCGTAGAGCACATTGTATATTCCGCCCCTGGACAGACTCTTACACAGATACTAATGCTCTGTTTAGGATATGGACATAGATAGCTAATCTCATCACAAATCAAGCCCAGCACACCAAGTCTGCTGAAACATGGCAGATACGACTTCAGAGTGTAACAATGTACATATTAAAGCAATGCTCACTTTAACGAGAGGAAACTTCTTACAACAGTCAGGAACCCTGAGACCTTTGATTCCAGCAATAAATCTGCTAAATGTTGCATTTGAGTGGTGGTGTTCATTTTGAATGAATATTTTAGGTGTTCATTTGGGGCACAAACCAATGGACCAAATACCCAACCAGATTTTTTTATATTCACAAAAATAAAAAGCCAACAAAACCACGCAACAGAACACAACTCAGGCAAAACTGCATATTCCCCTACCAGGAAAATATACCTGCTATGTGAGCTTGTTTGACTTATTCACTTAGACACTTGCTTACAAATTACTAACCCGCTCAGCTTCTTTTCCCAGTAATCCTAACAAAGCTTCATGATTTTTTCCAGAAGCGTTGTTCAGACAAAACATACCTGCCCTGAAACTGTCCTTAACTCTACATCCTGGCACACATAAAATTTGCTTTTGATACGACTGCTAAGAATAGCTAAACCAATTCAAATTAAGCTGAAAAAGACAGCAGTGTTAGGTATTTGGGGAATAATAGTGTATTCACTAATATCACTTAATCCACGTTTGCTTTAATGTAGATTTTTTTGCTAAGATTTATTTTGCATGGTATACTTGAATGTGCTATTACTTCTTTGACTTTAAACACAAAACACGCGTGAATACAAGATGGTATTAAGTTGGCACTTATACAGTGCTACTAATCCAAAGTCATCCTGCCTCCGTGGCTGCTAGCATGCAAGGCTGCTGTGGCCAGAGGCAAACAGACTGTCCACAAAGAATTATTTTCCAGTCTATTTTGTTGTGCATTATTTCTTTCTTTTTTGTAAAAGAAATACGAACACATAATAATACAACGTGGCATGTTGGTTGATGCTGCACTGGGTGACATGGACACTGAAGCTAGAGTAATTGGATATAATATGCTTCACTCAATCCTTGTAAAGCTGAATCAGAATCAGAGCATGCTGGAATATTACAACTCAGCATGCTTATTAGCTGTAAGCAATGTGAATTTCTAATGCTGTGGTGCCCATGGTATTTATTTATTCATTACTTTGCCCCAAATGCAGGCTGTGATTAAGGAAATTGCATAATTTCAATCATTTTGTTTCTGCTCTTTCAAAATTCCCTTTATAGTAAATGTCTGTACGCACTGTGTGATATATAACAAGTCTTTTTTAAATCTATTTTCTTCTGATTTATATCGTACATAGTACAGATCTCCAGATGTTTTGTTTGGACATGGAATAATTATCCTCAATAGACTTTTTGTAATGGTGAACTTGCTACATGGTTTTCTGTTTTGTTGTCTTTTTTCTCAGGGGTTTTGTGTTTTGCTGAAATTTTGAGCTGCGCAATTCATAAACTTCTACTGGATTTTCAATTTCATTATTGTTTTTCTATATTTTTATTTCGTTTTGTTCGGTCTCAATCGTTTTTTTTTCTTACAAAATTTAGAGTATGTATCAAAGAATAAGCAGACATATGACCCATGGTTAGCTCTTAATAGGGTAGTCAAAAGTGCAAATAGCAAGACGCGGTTTAAAAGGATTCCGAGGTAAACTGAACGCAACAGCGATGGGCGGAGCCAAAATGGTCCAAACACAATGCAGCATACAGCGACACGTTGAGCATTTTCCACAGTAGACATGTTAGCTTCCTGTATGTCAATAAATTAAAAACACAACTGGTTTAACGTCGCTGATAACTTCTCCATTATGGTAAGTTTACACATCATTTACTTTAAAGCACCGTCATGGTCCTTTTCTGCTCCGCCATGTTGAACTCTCTGCTGTCGTTGCTAGCAGCTGTCGGCGAGCCCGGCGTTCCCCTTCACTTTTAGTAAATCAGACATTAAATATGATTATAAACATAGTCCGATACCCTCTTTTTCATTCCAGGTCGCTGTTGAGTCAGACTCATTGACTCTTTTTCGAATAAGAGGTCCGCTGGAGTTGAGATGTCAGGTCGACAGCACAGATGGTACGTTCACGGACGTTTTCGCATACAAGTTCTCTAGCAGTCTATAAAGTTGGATATGCTTTTTGATTTATACTTATTGAGTTTTGGATGCATTTATTTGGATATTGACATAAGTAACTTCGAAAGTAAAATGTCTACCATCCCATATAGACCTGCTTCCTTCCACCATGATTGGCGTGGATTTAAAAAGATATTTATGAATCAAAATTACCCATAAGTGAATTTCCATCACTTTTTTTTATTGTTGATTTAACGACTATAAAAAGCATACATTTCTATACATGATGGAAGTTGTTATGATTGCCTGTGTACATAAAAAAGAGGCATTATAAAAGTTTTTTTGTTTTCTACAGTTGTGCTTATGCGAAAGGTGATCTCAAGAACGTTTGAGAGCCTTCGCTCACAGGTGAAATCGGAATCCTGTGTCTTCGCTGTCTGCAACAGTCCTGTTTTTATATGGCCAAATAAAGGTGTCTATGGAGAAGTGACCCCAGATACACCGTCTGAAGAAGCACATCAGTGGATCCAGTAAGTCCTGCCATTCTAAACATTAATTCATATTATGAATTATGAACGGACCACGCACCAGACCAGTCAAGGGATCTTTAAATGTGTGTCCTTTTTGGTCAGCAATACTGAAATTATTCTTATTAGATGGTGTACCTCTGATGTCATGTAATAGGGGAAGTTTTGAAATGGTTTGCACTGTAATTTGTTCAGGGTCAACAGCTTTACTTTTTGTTTCTCTTTTAATCAATTCTGTTACATTAGACCTTATAATACTTGTTATTCTTAATTACATTTTTATTTTTATTTTTCATGATAGAGTAGATGAACCAGACAGCAGTGGCAAGCGATCAGCAAAGAAGAGAGGCAGAAAAGGTCTGACAGCGGTATGTAGATTCTTTTGCTTTTAATGGTGGCAACACTTTATACAGCAAACTCAGTTCAGTTAATACTCCATAGTAAGAAGCTTTTCATCAAAGATGGGACTCAAACCCACGATTGTTGGCTGGAGCCTTATCCATCAGTCCACTGGGCAGGTTGAGTCACACTCAAACAGCTATTTGTATTTGCAAAGACAGCTGGTTAGCGGTGATTGTATTACCAAAAGTCCGGAAGGCTAAGATATTCTCTGTATTGGCATATTTGTCATCGGAATAATGCAGATGTTCCATAAACTGGTTTAATATTTTCAAAATAAAAGCAAATATTCCCTGCAAAAAATTGTGTTTTATTTGTGTAAAAATAAACACATTAGCCTTTATTTCATTGTCTTTCTGTCTCATCCTTTTTTACGGGGATGCCTGCTCAAATCTAAATGCGGACTTGTCATTTAGAATGTCATAAACCTCGACCTGATGATGGAGGTGACGAAGCAATGCCCTCTGTCAGCCCCGATCCTCCGGAAAACGATACAGAAGTCCAACTTCCTGACCGCTTCTCTTCCCATGGACTGTGTTTTGCGTGCCAGGAGCAACGACACAATCAGAGAGTAGGTGTTTACTTCAACACTTCAGCATGGGGTGGTGTTACAGATGTATATGCCATCACAAATGGTCTCATTTTTGCCATCTCAAAGCTTTTCATTTGTTTTTTTTGCTTGTTTTTTTTCATGATGCAGCACCTGCACACGACTGCTGGAGGCGCTCACTGACCAGTTGTGTGAGATGGAAAAGGTGACCCTGCAGCACATGACGGGCACAAAGGTGCTCGTCCCCGAGCCTCTCCACTTTTCTCTCCCAGAGCCAAAAGGGCTGGTGACAGTGGTTTTTCCCGCAGGAGTGTCTGACGAACAATTAAAGACGCAACGAAAAGTAAGACACTGAGTTTGTTTAAATTCTGCTGTGGATGTCATGACACTCAGGGCGATTGTTGTTCTTGTTTTTCTGTTTGGTGAAAAACCTGATGGTTTTGAAAAGTCTTTTGTCAAAGACTGGTGGAATACTAAGCAAAAACATGGTGAAACAGACCTCTTCCCTCTTTGTCTGAGCAGGAGCTGCATGAGCGGTTGGAGCTGCCAGACGACAGGCCTTACTTTAGAAGAGCCAATGCATACCACTTTCCCAACGAGTCTTACAAAGACGGATACCTCAGAAACCCTCACATGACCCTGGCACATCCTACGCTGGAAAACGGGAAGGTAAAGTCTTTTTCATTTGTCGACATACTTTGAGATTTTCCCACCACAGGGAACTGCAACTCTAATACGGGACTTTCCCCCCTTATGCTTTTGTGTTTGTGGTGTGTCCAATCTTAAGGTGTATTTGGTCCAGGGGATCTACAGCTACCACCACTACATGCAGGACCGCGTAGATGACAACGGCTGGGGCTGTGCCTATCGCTCTCTGCAGACCATCTGTTCCTGGTTTCAGCAGCAGGGTTACGTGGAGCACTCCGTGCCCACTCACAGGGAGATCCAACAGGTAAGGGCTCTTTGTTTGAACCAAGTGCATTATGAAATACGGCTACATATGCATTGATCTTCAAGTGGCGTCCAACATGACTGTCTAACTGGGTCGCTGTTTGTCAGGCATTAGTAGATGTTGGAGACAAGCAGGGTTCCTTCGTGGGGTCACGTCAGTGGATCGGATCCATTGAGGTTCAGGCCGTTCTGAGTCATCTGCTTGACGTCACCTCTAAGATCATGTTTGTCAGGTATGAGAAACAGTTCTTAAAGAAGACCATTCGAAAATTCAATCGATGACTTGGATTGAATTCACAATAAGTTATTGGATGTTGTTTTGTTTTTTTTCTTAGTCAGGGATCTGAGTTGGCATCCAAAGGCAGAGAATTGGCAAACCACTTTGTGACTGAAGGGACTCCCATCATGATTGGTGAGCTGGTTCAGACCATTTTCTAAAACATTTTGAAGTCTAGTCGAAGTTTTAGAGTAAAACACAAAGGTGTTCACATAATATAAGAAACATAATCATCTTTAGAAATGTAGACCACCTTAACACACATTTGTGTGAACGCCCAAAGCAGTGGCCTGTGTTCCAAATGCACATCAGCGCGTTTGGCTTAGTTAGAATTGGTGAGTTTACATTTTTCACCTTCTTTGTGTTGCAGGAGGGGGAGTTTTGGCTCACACTATTCTGGGCGTGGCGTGGAGTGAGACCACAGGACAGATCCGCTATCTCATTCTAGATCCACATTACACAGGAGCAGAAGACCTCCAGGTCATCACAGACAAGGTAACTCCTGCAACCAACAGCAACTCGTGTTTCAGTCTGAAGTCAATTCAGAAATGGCGCGCTGACAGTGTGAATGTTGTGTTTCTCAGGGCTGGTGTGGCTGGAAAGGACCTGATTTCTGGGATCAAACGGCATATTATAACCTTTGTTTGCCTCAGAGACCAAGGATTTTCTGAGCAGTTTGAGACTTTCAGGCGGACACAACAAAACATTGAGAAAATGTGGATTTTGGGGATTTTGCCAAACAAGGACTGACACAAATAGAGATGGGCATATTTGTGTTGAATATGATATTGTAATAATCAAGTGGACAATATTTAAAATTCTCATTAAACTTTGAAGAGTAATATGAATGGATGGAGTTTTGTCAGTGAGTTTTATGAGACACAATAGAGACTTCTCCAGAGGTGGAACACCCTGCCTGAAAGAAGAGCTCTAAGGGCTGCAGTGTAGTCTTTTTTTTCATAACATCAGTATTTTATAGTAAGAACCAACTTTTCTTCAATCTTAACTGATTATTTAAGTATTTCTCTAATTCTTTAACATTAGCAACCAACCCTGATTAACACTAGATCCACAGCAGGAAATTGGTTCAGACTTGTTCTCTTTTTGGATGCACCATGGTGTCTGTTGCTCTGGTTTTAGGATAGGCACAATTAGGTCAAATTAAATAAATGTGAGATGCTTTAAATGTTTTGACGAATTAAATGTAATATTAATATTAAATCACTACAATTATCAATTATGATATCGACAAAAATGTAATGCAACTGTAAACATTCATATTTTTCTTCTCAAGGACATATGTATTAAAATACTTCTTTGTATTCAATTAGAAAATCATAAATCTGTTTTTTCCCAGTCATTGTGGGGTGGTAAAAATTTAAATGAACACCAGCATAAAACAGTGTTTGATCATATACAGAACTGCAAGTATTCCTCTGATAACCCCTCTCTTGGGAAAACGAGCACTCCAGGTAAACAGTTGAACAGAACAAAGCTCCCTAGCATACAGAGAAGAGTTCCATCCATTTACTAAACCACTTATCCCTAGTAGGGTTGTTAGGCGAGAAGAGAAAATATAATTTTACTTAAAAAGATAGGTTGTTACAGAATATTTTTAAAAATGTACTAACTGCAAACTGGGACTCTTGGCTGCCTGGGCCTGATAGAGAAAATGCCCTCCATTCAGTCGCCATCGCTATCCTTTTAACATGTAAATTTTATGACAGTGACCAGACACAGGTTTATATGGCAGAGTCCCACAAGTGCTATTGTCCCAGGACATTGGCATTTCTCGAGTGTGTGTCACTTCTAGGTCTAACTATGTTATTAAGAGTAAAACCGTGACAAATTGAAATTTCAGGGGACGCGCCTCCAGATAATCCCCTTTCTTAATGGAGATGCACGAGAGGGAGCAGTTACATTGGTATGATATATTCCTAAGGAGAAAATAAATGATCTCACTCTTTTTCCATGATATATTTTGATCAGTTCAAAAACTTTGTCAGGAAAGATAACATTTTCCATTGCCCTATTGAATTTATTTCCTGTTTCTTTCCAATTTTGTCAAATTTCATCAGCAGTTCAAGATGATTAGTCAAATGGAAAAATTGTATATCGAAGTTTACACATCAGGACTATTGATGTGATATCATGATACACATGCACAAATACAGATAAAAACACTTCAGGTCTAAAAAGTAGCTTTATGAGCTACAGCCATCCTGAGCATCTAAGGCACAGTCATGATTATTTTTTATTTTAAATTTCTTTTTCCCCTGACAGAATTACCTTTCATTTATTTACCAACTTTTTTTCTAATTAGTGCAAAGGAGCACAGCGGACTCGGCTTTACAAAGACAATAAAGGTTATTTACTGTTTTAAAAAATGTTTTTTTATGTCACTGACTTCATACATTTTGTCATAAACTTTTTTGTTACTTTATTTAGGACATCGATTTGAGTTTGAACTGTGAGACCAAATGACTATTTTTATATTTTTATATTATTTTTATACTACTTTTGGTATAGAGATAATTTGTTGGTCTGGTCCTTTATTTGCGGTTAAGACTAGTTTTATCCACTTTTAAATAAGTTCAACTGGTATTTATAATCACCTATTTGTGTTTGTTTGTCTTTTTTGTTGTTGTTGTTGTTTGTCATGGTCATTTTATGATGTTCTCATGAGAAACACTACTACAGTTTACGTCCGGAGTCACGTAGCAACCGTTGCCAGGAAGTGACGCCATGCAGTTACTAGGCACGTCTGGATCATGCTAACGGTCTAAATCTGTATGTAGCAAAGGTTTTAATTTCATCATCGTCTTGGCGCGTAACATCACGTTTGAAGAAATTGATGCAGTTCCACAGTGAAACACCATTTTTTGTTGTCAGGTAAGATGTCGTGTTGTGCCTGTATGGTTAAAGTTAGCTGTGCTGTTTGGCAGGGTTAGCTAATTCATAGTTTATCGGCAAAATATGCTGTTTGGGGTTTTAGCGTACACGTCTTGCATACACGTTTGCTGTATCTTTGCATTTGTTATTAGCAACGTTTTTTTGGTGGATGCCCTGTTCAAAACAGACTGAATAGTTTGCAGCATCAACACACTAGACAAGTATAATGACAAACATTGAACTGTCAGTATTCCGAAAGGGATTTGCCATCTCCATTTGACTTAGCTATCTGTAAAACACACAACAGGGCTGGCACGTTTGAACTAGAAATTAAGAGGCCTGATCTCACAATCCTATGCATACATTTATATAGTTGTTTTGTTAATCTGTACTCAGTTTAGAAACATTTGTGGTGTTTTGTCTCTCTTTCGAATATGTATTGGTCTGTGTTATTTTTAATGTCTTTTTAAAAATGTTCCAGCTAGACAAAACATTATAACTTCACTTACTTATATTTCTTATCTTTTGTCACTCTTATTTGTTGGGAAAGGCTGACATGTTCAACCCTGATGAGCTAGAAGGTGAAGTGGATCACTCGTTTTTCGACAGTGATTGTGAAGCTAGTAGTAGAGATGGAGGAAAAAAGGTAGAGAAAAGCTTGAAGACTAAGAAAAAAAATCCAACAACATATAATAAGAATTTGGATGATGATTCATCCCCAAACACCGAAAGGAGGGAACAACCCTTTAGGGAAGTGGAGAACAGTAAGAGGAGCAGAGCATCTGCTGTAACATCTGTATCCTGCCCTTCAGGAAAAGTCTTAAGTGATAGCAGTGAGGATGACTATAATGTGCTTTCGAAACGGTCCAGTGGAGGATTCATGGCTTTGTTGGTTGACACAAAAGAAGGAGAAGATGTCTGCAACCCGAATCCAAATGAGTCTGGAGATAAAGCGACAGCATTCGGCTCCAGCTCAAAAAAGAAAATTGTGCAATCTCCTAGAAAACTTGTGAAAAGTCAGCACCACCGCACTCCTTCTCCTACTTCAAACGAGGCCAGCGCGGATGCAGACTCTGAGGGCTCCGGCAGTAGTCAGAGCGGAAATATGGGGTCCTCTGCCCTCCATAAACCCACCAAGTCTTCTTCAAATCCAGCAGTAAGAAGGAACCGAGTGGGCTCAGCAGGATCTCGGGATTTGCTTTCCGCTAGTTCAGATGAGTCTGACGATTCAGTAACAGACGTGAGCCCCCTCTCCTCTCCGGAATTCAGCCCCCTGCAGTCATTGGATCTCACCAACACAGAGGCCAAAGAAAGAAATCGTGAAGAGCATCAGCGGGAGAGTGTGCCCTCCAGTGGCCTTAGCAACATCAAACAAGAGGAGGATTCAGATCAAGACCTTGATGATCGTGAGTAGACTTCATCCAAAAATATATCTTCATGTTAAGAGATTACTTTTGATTTTGATTTTTTCTGACAGTAAATTATGATAACATAAAAAATTGTTTTCCAACATGCAGGATCTTTCAGTTTGGAAAGTGAGCTTGGGAGTAAACTGGTCTTCCATGGTCCCGGAGGGAGAAACAGGAAGAACTATTCGTTTTCAAACGATGAGGTCTGGCGTATAGATCGAGAGAATCAGCGTCTTCTCAGGGAGCTGTCGCGCCTTTCTCCAGGGCCCAGACCAGCAAGTGCAGTCGGGAAGAAAACACACGTTGCCAACAGCTCCCCTCTGGTTCGCCTGTCTCACAGCGCTCTCAACAGAAAACGGGAACAACAGCGCATCGAGCGGGACAATCTGGTGAGCTGTGTGCTTGAGGCGATGCCTGATTCTAGATACACTAACAATTCACTTCCAAAGTTTTGAATCGTAGGGTTGAAATCTTTATGGGAAATTATTATTATTACGGTAATATTCTGGGTTTAGTAGACATCATTTTTCACAGGGTCAATAAAAGGTTATACAATGTATTCCAATTTATGTAGATTTGTATCTACATAAAATGTATTGCATATTTCAGGTTATTAATACTATAAAATCTTCTGATCCTTTCCCAAAGCCCTTGATTTTGGATGTCTGAATCAACCATGAGGTCAGGCAACACAATCTGTGAACGGATGCAACGTTGGCAAAACAATAACTCGATAAACTGAGTTCTACACAGGCAGTATTGTGAGGGTTAAGTTACCAGTCAGATTGTCTATAGAGGCTCTGTGAATTTAAGTTCCCCTCTTCTATCTCAACCTCCCACATTATCTTCTTTTTTTCTCTTTTTCTTGCTTTAGTGTGTTGACTGCAAGTTTCTGTTCTTATGTCAGCATGTTAAAGTTGTTCTTCTCACAGTAATATTATAATTTTGCTATCACAAAAGGAAGGTTTTTATGGTTATCAGATACCAGGGGTGGTCATTCCACCATGCACATAGGGCATTTCTCAACTGTAACCACCAGTTTAATTTGAGCAGGGCAGGTGGAAAACGGCAACGAAACTACATAACTCCGCTGCAATGTTTCCTCATCTCATTAGTTTTTTTCATTCATAATAGTCATGAAATACTCGACATACAAAAAAGCTTCAAAAGCTTCAACGTATCAGATGAGTTCTTTGTCATTAGAAGATTATTCAAGATGTTATCACTTTAAAGTCCTTCTTTTTTGTTATTTGACAGGCATACGTGACTTTTAATGTATTATTGGTATTCGTATAGATATGTTATTTTTATTAGGGTACTTGTGTTATTAGTACTGATCAGCTAGGTTGAGTTGGTGTCGGTGTGAGAGCACACCCCTGAAAACAGACACTGAGGACATGGATAGATGGCAGCAGGTGGCAGGCTTGCAGCAGTGCTACGGAGTGACATTACGAGACGGTCCGGGCTCTGCTGCTTTAGCCAGTTTCCTCACATCTTATCCTCACTTTACCAGTGAAAGCTAAAAAATGACATTCATACAAGCGTCAGTGTTTCATTATTTTAAAGGCAAATCAAAAATAGATAAGTGACTAATGGTCAGCAGAGCGTTATTGAAGGAGGACCTCAACCAGGGTTTCTTCCCTGTTATTTTACATTTTAATGTCCCGTCATCGCTAATGACAGATTATAATAAATCTGGTCCTTTCAGCATTGAGTGTCAGTCATTTTAGGGACAAACTGTTCTCTCTCTGAAGTCTTGTCAGGAGTACTTTCGTCTTCTCTATTCTTGGAGAGAAGTAATTGAATCTGCTGTGTGATCAGTGGATCCGTCCACACACGTAAAGCCCCTCATCTCCTGCACTATGAACGCGTTCTCTGTATTTCAGGATTATTATTTTTTTCTGAAGATGTGAAATTAATATAGCAGGCAAGCCCTTTATATAATGTTTGTTGTACGACATGTTGCCTGAGCTTTTTTGCTAGTTGCAGTTTTCATGTGCTGAGGCATTTCTGCCTGCTCTGTGTGTAAAGATGTGAACTGATGCATTCGGCCACTGGAATCCACCATTTTGCACCATGCCATTTTGGCTTCTTACTTATTTTACTGAAATTTGTTAAAAGGCACTTTGCCTTTTTAAAATGACTTCCTTTTTGTGAGTTATACACATATTCTATATCCCTTAAGTGAAAACTTATGACAAAACCTACATGTAAGTAAAACTACTACCTAATGAAGATTCACAAGGCATTCATTTTTAGTATTAAGAATTTGCTCTAAATGGGGTTAGCAACAACTAATTTGATTTATCATGCACAAGAAACTTTTGTGATTCAACCGTTCGACACTTTCAGCAAACACAGAAATTTGTAATAATTCACATCATGGTATGATCAGTACATATGTGGCAACAAAAAAAAAAATGCAGTCATTTGTCTTCAGGCTTTCCTTAAGAGACTGGAGTCTGTTAAGCCCACACATGGCCTCAGGCGTTCGGAGCAACTGGCGGACTACCAGCGCCACGCTGGATACCTGGGCGGCCCGTCCTATCCCGTCTGCACATCCTCAGCCAGGAAAGACAGGCTTAGTAGCAGGAAATCCTCAGGTATGTGAGTCCAAGTCTGACGACCTTAGCAGTTTTCAAAAACTAGGATGCTTTTTGTTACCTACTTTATCCGCTAAAATGTAAAGATCCTTTAACGTTGCGTTAACTTTTCATACATGACAGAGCACAGGTTACACCTGATTTCTGATGAATGCCACCTCTTTATTCTGAAGCATCTCCTTCTTATCAGCATCTGTAGATTCCAGGTCCATTGGCTCGAAAACAGTTTTCACTGACCCCGAATCCAGCAGCACGCCGGTGCCCAGTTCTACTAAACTGAATGCTGTCCGGCCAGCCTGGTGCTAGGAAACGCCACAGTTCAGCCGCATCCATTCCACCGACAAATACAAGACTGGCTTCTGACGCAGAGGTCCGTTGGATTCCATCAAACACAAAAGTTTGAGTTTGATAGCATAGGAGATATTCCACACATGGTTCCAGAGCTGACAGACGCTGCTCTTAATGTCGTATGTAATCATCAGGGGAGATCCTCTTTCCTGATACAGCCAATGCTTTGGTAGAGAAGCTGTTCCCATTAAGTGCAGTGGTCCAACATGGCTTCCGTAAACAGCAGTAACTTTTCTGCACTTGAGCTGCATTTAGTTGGCATTGTTAAATATTTTCAGCACTTTACGCGTTTTGTAAATGTCTTTCTTTTTTTCACAGTTGAATGATTTGTTCGCTTCTTGTAGAATTATGTTTTTGCATCAGTAAAAATTTTTTTAACGTATTATCGGTGTGATGATCATTCTGTGCCTTTTAAAGTATGTGAATATTCCATATTTTGCTTAAATATTTGTTCTAAATTTTAGCCTAAATTGTTCTTTCCTAATATTATTCTCTCCAAACATAATATAAAATTACTTTCAAGTGAGATAAAGAAATAGTATATTATATTATTCCCAAAACAACCCCTGGCAGTGAAAGTTCTAACTGCTATTTTCAGTAATTAAGCATGCGGACATTCACTCTGTGTATGTTACAGGCTATCTTTCTCGCAGAGCACAAGCTTGGGTGTTATTTACAGAAAATGATGACAAAATCCTCATGAAAGCTTTTTGAGTAATTAAATTGAGCCATTAATAATGTATCCAGTAACAGTAGATTTTTTTTGTATCGTGTGGATGTGAACGAAAAGCTCTTAAGAAATGTTGTTATTGGACTGACAACAGAGAGGCCGGGTTGTTAGACTTGGAAATCTTTATTCTTAATAAAATGTATGAGGAGGGATACAAGGGTCAAAGAGTGGTCACAACATAGCATATGGGACTCGGGAGCTCATGGCCTGTATCGTCATCTGAGTCATCACTTCATCTCCACCAAGCCTGCCTTTTAACACACCTTAGAGAAATATCTACACATTTCAGATAGGACAAGTTAACCCCGCTCAGCTACACTCTCTGATCTTCCCTGACTGTAGCACAGGTGAGGCAGCCTGCATTCCAACATAGTAATTCATCAGGTTGTTATCACTGCATCACAAAAAATAAGACTTAAGTGAAGTGGAGGGGTTCCTTTAGGTACTGGGAGCGCTCGTTTAAACTGTGTACTTCTTGATCTCGTCGTACAACACCAACACAAAGGCGCCACCCATGCCCCTGATCACATTGGACCAGGCACCTTTGAAGAGGGCCCGTCCTCCCTCATCTTTGATGATCTTCTTCCAGCAGTCCATTGTGCCCTTGTACATGATGTCAGCTTTGGAAAAAAACAGACAGAAACAAGTCAGGTTGCAATGCACGTATATAGACTACAAAGTGCGCAAAAAATGTCAAACAGCAACAACAACAAAATCACCTCCTTTGCGTCCTGACTGCATCATCATACGACGTCTGACTGTGTCGAAGGGGTATGAAATGATACCGGCTGCAGCGGTGACTGTCTGGGCGATCATCCAGCTCACCACGATGTGCGTGTTCTTGGGATCTGGCAGCATACCTGTACAAGGGAGTTTTTTATTTATTTTTTAAGTCAGCCTCTTTGACCATGAAACGCATGAACAGAACGGATGGAACAGGTGCGCGCACCTTTAGCCGTGTCGAAGCATCCGAAGTATGCCGCTCTGTAGATGATGATACCCTGAACTGACACGTTGAAACCGAGGTAGAGACCTTTGAGGCCGTCGGTTTTGAAGATCCTGCTGATGCAGTTTCCCAGACCGGTGAACTCCCTCTCGGCGTTGCCCTTTCCGATGTCAGCGGCCAGCCTGGTTCTGGCGAAATCGAGTGGATAGACGAAACAGAGCGAGGTGGCACCTGCGGCACCGCCGGATGCCAGGTTGCCGGCGAAGTAACGCCAGAACTGTGTTTTCTGATCCACACCCCCCAGGAAGATCTTCTTGTACTTGTCTTTGAAGGCGAAGTTAAGCGCTTGGGTGGGGAAGTAACGGATGACGTTGGCCAGGTTGCCTCTCCAGAAGGAAATGAAACCCTGTTCTTTGGGGATTCTAACCACACAGTCCATGATTCCCTTGTACTGGTTCTCAACGGTGATCTGTTTGCTGGCATGCTGGACCTGCAGGAGAAAATAAGAGGTGCATTTGCACATTAACACAGTGTGCGGAGGCACTTTCACTAACGGCTTCGAATAACTTGCTGATAAAAGATGTCAAATATTCTTCAGACAGACATTATGCAGTTGTGTTTCCATTAGTCTGAGCATACCGCGGTCACTTGAGACTTCACTGTGTATTAGATTACATACTTTAAGTTAAATTTAGCACTTCCCTTTCACTTAATGGCACAGTTGGTAATTTGTGATGGTTGAATAATACACAAACTTGATAAAATGGCAAATCTAATCGTAGGTAAAGTGCTGTGGCTGTTTTGTTAAAGCATTTATCGGGAGTTTTTCCCACAGTCTCACGGCCCTGTGCGTAAAAGTATCCTCGGGCTGACCTCTCACGTGCCCCCTGGCATCATGCACAAGACCATATGAGCCCTCTCGATTCTCATGCTGGACCTTTGCTCCATGAAAACGATTTCCACCTTCTAACCTTATTTTGAATTCACGTTCGGTTTACCGATTACGCACACTTTACGCACAATGTAGTGAGCCGGCGAGCCTGCCCCGGGCAGATCGCACTTCATCTACTTTACCTGAAGCAGCAGCTTGACTCTCTCAATGGGAGCAACGGCTGTTTTGGAGATGGCAGCGGCAATGCCACCAGCCAAAAAGTCCTTCATGAAACTGACCACCGCGTCCGACATGGCTGGATGTGTTCTTGTGGAGGCTTGAGACCCTCGCCTGTTCCAAACTTGACCAAGCTCCTCAAGGAAACCTTATGCCCCTCCAAGTGGAAGACGCACCCCCCCATCTGCTCTTATATACGGGGGCCATTCATCGCGAGAATTTTGAATGATGGATATGCAGGTTGTCAAACGAATAAACGAGGCTGAAAAAATTTCCGAGGGTGAAGTTCAAGTCGTGCGCCATGTTCCTGGTGTCAAGAGTCAGCCGAACCGGGGACGTTTAAAGGACACACACAACATGTAAACATTAAACATATAAACGTGCAGTCCCAAAAGAGTCCTATCAGGGGATAACATTGCTGGTTGGGTTCAGCTAAAATTCCAGAGAGCAGACAATATTAATAAAACATCTATCTATCTATCTATCTATCTATCTATCTATCTATCTATCTATC